CTTCACCGGCTGTATCGTCAAGAGCATCTTGACCAGCTGCATCACTGTCTGGTATGGCAGCACTACTGCTATGAACCGCAAGCGCCTGCAGAGAGTGGTAAAGACTGTGGAGAAGATCACTAGGACTCCACTGCCCTCTCTGCAGAGCATTTACCACCGCAGGGTGTGTAGGAAAGCTGCCTCCATCCTCAAAGATCCCACCCACCTCCAGCATGGACTGTTCACTTCTTTGCCCTCTGGCCAGAGGATCAGAAGTGTGAAACACAGAACCTCCAGACTGAAAAATTCTTTCTTTCCCTCTGCCATCAGACTCCTAAACAGCTGATGAGTTTATTAACAGGAAATACGTCATGTACTGTCGACTTGTACTGTTTACATTCTCAGTTTGCACATGCATAATTGCACATTGACTGTTGACTACTGCACATGCTGCTCCCATCCAGCATACATTCTCTTATTATATTTTTATTATATCTCTGCATTTGCTGCTTAAAGTGCCTTACATTTTGTGTTATCTACTTTATATTTCATTTGTATTTTGTGGCCTTCATGCAGACGTCAAAGTAAGAATTTCACTGTACAGGGAAACACGTTTCCTAATTGCACATATGACACTTTGATCAGTGTAAACCTCAAATGTACACTATTAACATTTGAGGCTCTTTGCCGTGTCCTTGTGTAGAAACTATTAATCCAAGCAGTCCCTTTCATCTTTTAGAGCTGGAACCAGGTCAAATGTGTCTACACTTAAAGTTTATTAGGAGCCCCAGTGCTCCAGCCTTCATTTCCTCAGAAACACCTACAGTATAGCCACTCGGACCCTGCCCACTAGTCAGCTGGGTCTATAATCCCATGTGTAGGTTCTGGCTGCCGTGACCAATGTTTCAAACAATCTGGATGAAGCCACTGAGGCCCATATTCAGCAGTGGTGAATGGGATGATTGCTGAGAGGATTTCAGGCATTGATTGTGGGAGGATGTAGGAGAATATCTGGCAGAGGTTGTTACTGAATGTTGAGCCATTTCAAATAAACTTCAACCACATGATGCAATATCCAAAGCAGCAGGGACACACGCCTTGCATCCAGTCCTGGCATCTTTTTATTTTAATAAACCCACAGAGAGAGTGTGGCATATACTGTGGTACTGTTGGTATCAGGCCTAGCCCTGCATCTGTTGGTGTCCTAGGCTGGTTGTTGCTACATGTAGGCTATTGTGCATTAGGTATAGCATATTTATTATTACTCTAAAGGCAACCAGTGTGACCAGTGTGTTAGTGGGATATTTTGTCTTAGCTGAGTAGAGGGGCGACAGTATGGATGCACCCATGACATTAGCTTATTGTTATTATAAGAAGCACATCAGAGCTGAAATACTGAGGACATGGTGTCACGTGTAAATGTTTGGATACGTTACCAAGTCAGTGACACAGCCACTTCTGCAGTCTGTTGCTTTGGGGTTGTGTGGCAGCCAGTGGCAAAGGAAACACTGCACAGACAAAGAGAAGAATGGATGACACTAATTAGCAGCAAATTCTGGATATAAATAGCAGTCAGTCAGTCAGGAGGCTGGCTTCTACAGCGGAACAACAATCCACAGCAGACCTTACAATGCTACATGAACTACTGTACTTTAGGAAAACACAAGCTGAAGTTTTTGGAGTGGCCCTCACAGTTCGCTGACCTGAACATAATTGAAAATCTATGGGCAAAAAAAACTAATTCAAAATGAAATCAAAAATACAAAGACTTTCAGATGACTACAAAAGGAGTCTGCAGGCTGATATATCTGCCAGAGGAGGGTTACTGAGTCCTGTTTTGTCTATTCAGTAAGAGTCTGTAAGCAAAGCGCCATAGTGGAAGGCATGACATGACCTTAAAAAATCCCCAAATAATCCAAATTGTACATTGTAAAACTCTACTCTGCTCTGCTTTACATGACCAGATATGTTCAATAAAGTGATTCTGTGAGCAGGTGTGAGCAGAAACTGTGCTCTCTGATATTCGCCCTGATGGCCTGAAGCTCTCCTGGACAAACCCCACATAGAGGGTCCATCACAGAGAGGGCCCACTGCCCACAGACGCGCACAGAGCTCCCTTTCTTTAAGAAACGGCAAAGGGGAATTCCTTACGTTGGATGCTGCAGTGATGAGAAGCCTTTTCATCCGGCTGTTTTTCAGTCTCCACTGGCTGCGTTAATTACAGGGCCCGGGGCTGCACTTTGAGCTCACTGCGCTCATGCAGGCTCTTGAGAAAAAGCCGTGTGTTTGATTCTCACGACACAGATAAAAAAAACTGCACATAAACACACACCCCGCACGCGAGATCGCGCGCGTCAGTGCCCGTCTGAGCCAGCCGAACCAGTCAGCCAGCTGCTCAGAGACATTCCTGTCTGTCCTCAACAACTTCAGCCCACAGACTCAAGCAGCAAACAACGACGTGAACTGGTTTTAAGGCATTTTCCCAGTCAAACCAATAGGACCCGAGAGGATGTGGAGTGTCATTCCTTCTGCCAGACGTCGGTGAAACTTTGGACGGTAAACACAGCGCGGAGCGGAGGAGAGGTGGGCGCAGGACGCGCAGCCTGTGTGTCGGTCACCTGATATGATGAGAAACTGTCTCTAAATCCACTACCTCACGGAAACGCCATGGCTGTGGACGGTAGGTAGCTTTCTGTTGGTTATACTTCGATAAGTTCGTCAAACATGCTCTACTTAAGGCCTTGCCATGAATTCGGTAGTTTAACTCACACTTGCGAGGCCGGTTTGCCAGGTATGCTTGGTCGCATTTCAGAGTAACAAAGTACGCACAGCATGAGATCATAACATTACATGTACAGCTAAAACCTCCGCTGACACGCTAAACCTCCCCAGCACCGGTGGAATCCAGCGCATGTACGCGTGCAAGGACACGACAGGAACATTATGGTGGGTTTAGGGAACAAGAGGAGGGTGCAGGGGGGTCTGCTGATGGACAGAGACCTGTTGCTGAAACCGACAGCGCGCTGCCAGAAGCCCTTACCAGTCTGATGGTGTGACGTGTAGGCTTGTGCACTGACTTAGTTTAAGTTACTTTTAATTTGACTTCGCCTTTACAGCTGCTATTGACTTTAACGCAGCTTTCTTTTTCTCTGGGCGCACTGGGGTCTATGAACACATCAGACAATCCAGGTGAAGATTGGTGAAGACCTACTGTATATGATGCTTATTTCAGTGCTACAAACAGGAGCTTTAACTAAAATATCAACTGCAAGAGACTCTTCACAGTACTGGTTCATGAAAGTGTTTTCCTATCTGGTGCTGGCAGTTTAAATTCCAGAGAAAAAACTCAGTCTGACAAGTGGTCTTAATTAACCGTATTTAATCAGTGAAACAGCACATCTGTGTTTACAGCAGCAGCCTGGGGGAGTAATAACACTGTGAACGAGGGGTCTTGCATTCACAGACTTAGAGTTATACCTCAAAGAAACAAAAATCTCATAGAGATTTGTATTAATATTTAATGCTGCTGCTGGTTTGCCTTGATGATGCTTTGCTGCGCTCTCAGTGGGAGGTGTGGGATGACAGTAAAAGAGAGGCACAGAGCTAGAAACACCAAAAGACAGTCTTTGATTTATTCAAATCCCCAAACCCCCCAACAGTTTCTCTCTTTCTTTTTTTATTCTCTTAGTCAATTTAAGACGTTGAAAATGCATGTTAGTGTGCACACACAAAGACAGCTGCACACATATCTTCAAACTCAGTAAGAAAATCCTCCCTGTCTGACACATGACTTGGTAATGACCTGTGGCGTTCTGACAGAATCTGTGCCAGTAGCTGGTGTTTACTGTACCTCCACACTTTCTTTAATTACTGGATGTTGGAAAGCCACCTGCTGTTGAGTGGGCGTGGATGTCTGTCTACAAGGCCTCCCTGTAATGATGAGGAAGTGTCTCACAGCTCTGACATTTACCCCCAGGCTCTGCTCAGAGTATTAGTGGCACCTAAATGCTGACTTTTGTGAAATACCAAGGAGCTTGTCCAGACTTTGACTGTGAAGGGTGCCACATACCATCTCAGTTTAGAACAGGTACAAGCAGATACTTCATAATGAGATCATCTTTGAATAACAGGGTGTCCAGGTGGGTTAAACTCCGGCTTGTTTTCAAGTCACACAGAGGGAGTGAGCTTTTGGCAGGGCATGTCTCATGCTGTTTTTACATTGTCAGTGATTATAGGCTATGTAGGTATGGCTATCTAATCATTATATCGCCTGCTTGTATCACTCAGCGGCATCCAGTTTCAGTTTCTGCAGGCCGGCTGTGGAGTACAGGGCTCTGCCTGAGGACTTCAAGCACCAGCTAATTCAGCAGACAGGTGGAAACCTAACCTGGCATGATGGTTGTGGACAGAAAACAGCAGGGGGCAGGACAGTGAAGCTGCTGCAGCAGCCAGGCACAGACACTATGCAGGTACTGAGCACCCACATAACCTGAAAATGGTGAACAGCACATTAAGTTCATGGGCTGATGTTGTGTGATATGATCATACTTGACCAAAGATAATGGCAATGACTCCTATAATGAAACTGAAATGATAATTCATTGTTGTTTAGAAATCAGTATGACCACCTGACACTGTCTATACTGGTCATTCAATTCAAGCAGCCACACTGGTGTTTAACCAGTTGTGAGATTAAATATCTTTCTTGACCAGAACATATTCTGGGTTAGATGTTCCTCTTTATCACGCAGAGTCATCAGTAAACTGATATACTAAGCACACATTTTGTCTCGCTGACTCTCCAACATCTGAGCTGGAGTTACTAATCAAAAACACCGTCTGTTTAGTCTTCCACCATTTTACATTCTGGACATCTTCATAATTAAAGGTCTCAATCTCCTGATCACAGCGTGCACGAGCTGCTGCTGCAAGTTTGCCCATGTAGACAAGTTAGACGTTCACATCTATGCACAGTGTTTGATCTGAATGCACATGTGGTCACCATCACCTCTGTGCTTCCGTTAGTTTCTCATGTATAGTAGGTCCCTCTATGTGTGTCTATAAACTCAGCCTGTCTCTGTCTTCTGACTGAGCAGCAGTGATCACACAAGTATGGTGGAAAATCAAAACTGGTGTGTTTGGGAATCTGATAACATCACTGTGTGGGATGTTCAATGCCACAGCTGCTGACAAGGTCAAACAGGACAAGAACCAGCTTAACAGGAATAGGTAGACATTTTGGGAAACATGCTTATTTGCTTTTTGCAGCAGGCTGTGTTCGGTGCTCCTGTATATCCAGTAGTGTTGGTATAGTTGCTCTCAGGAGTTAAATGTCAGTTACTGTGCCAGTTCATTAGAGATGTGCTAGAAACAACACTAAGAAAATGTCAATTATATTTATATTTATATGCCCCATGCTACTACAAAGTGTAAGAAGTGCTAAATTTTGTCAAACCACAAGATAGGGTACTCAGTAAACAAGACACTGCCCCAGCTAAAAAACAGTACCACACATAGCCCTGCACAACTTCTTGTTTATACACATGTCACCTTTGAACAGAGCTAAGCTAAACTAGCTGTGTCCTCCTGTTCTCTGGTTTTTATGCTAAGCCAGCTGCTTCATGATCATAGTGCAGACACTATAGTGGTGTCAGTCTTATCATTCAAGCTAGAAAGTGAATAAGCATGAGCATATTTCCTAAAATGTCAAACTTTTCATAATCCATGTCCATGTCCTCTGTACTCACAGTATCTGTATGGCTTCCTGTCTGTCTATATCGCTGCAGTACCGTTCTGGTGACAGTTATGGGATGTATCACACAAGCCCAACGCAGCCCAGCCTGATCCGTCCTGTTGTGATGTGGTCACAACAAGATGTTTGTAAATGGTTGAAGAAGCACTGCCCACACAACTATCTGACCTACGTGGAGGCGTTCTCTCACCATGCAATCACAGGTCACACTGCAAAGATCATCAGAAGCCATACAGTGTGAATGGAAAGTGGATTAGAAAATCACAGTTTAAAGTGAAAAAGACTTTTGAGCCCACTGCTTTTACCTTACAGGCCGTGCGTTGTTACGTCTGAACAGGGAGAAACTGGAGAGGATGGGATTAGTGCAAGAGACGCTTCGACAGGAGTTGCTGCAACAGGTGCTGCAGCTTCAGGTGCAGGAGGAGGGACGCAACCTGCAGCTACTCAGCAGAGGTAAGGATGTGTGTTTTGGGTTGTTTTTTTTACCACTCCATTATCAAATTTTTCCTTTAAAGTTTGACATTTTGGGGGAAAATGCTGATTCACTTCCTGTCAGAGTTAAACAAGAAGATCAATAGCACTTTCTTTTTTGTGTGGTAAATATGATGCTAGAGACAGCAGCTGGTTAGCTCACGTTAGCATAAAGACAAGAAAACAGAGGGAAACAGCAGATATAAGTCTAAAACTCACTACTTAATGCGGTACACTCTACCTTTATTCACGTTTTAGAAAAACCAAAGCATAAAAACATTTGGTGTTTCATGGACATTATGTACTGGACCATTTCTTGGCTGGGACCAGTGACTTTGTGCCTGCTGGCTACCTGGCAGCTGCTTAGGTTGAAATATACACATAACCTCCTATAAAACAGCAACAACAAACAACAAAAGCAAAATTTAACCTCAGGAACACGCTGCCTTTTTCAGAAAGATATGAAGAAATGCCCAAGGACTTCAGCACTCGATGAATCAGGGAGCTTTAGAGGTGCTGGAAGGCCAATGCTTTTCACCTTTGGACATAACTAGGTACCTGTTTCACCACATTCCTAGTATTTGTGCTAAGCTAAGCTAACCAGCAAAAAGACAGTAGCTTCATAATAAATGGGCAGATGTAAGAATGCTATCAATCTTATCTAACTGTTCACCAGAAAGTGAATAAGCGTATTTCCAAAAATGTCTAACTTTTGCTTTGAATGCTAAGAAAAATATTAAAAGTAGGCTATCAGATTTTCTTCTGTCATCCACAGATTCTTTTGGAAATATATCATAGCCAGATTTTGTCCTGTTTGAAGAAGTGGACAATGTGGAACCATGGAATATATGATCAAAAGCCTCAAATGCGAACAAGATCTGTGGGATCGATGCATCCAGCGAGCAGTGATATCCAGGATTATGTTTTTAAAGGGCAGCTTAAGTTGGCAGCTCTTCATTCACTGTCTGTACAACACACAGACATCATCTTCATGGGCTGAGTATGAACTGTGATGAAAAAGCATCATGACAATCTGTTTTGTCGATTTATTGCTCTATTCTGTGAATAATTAACTACTCCACTCTTACTGTCTGCCTCTCTCTCTGAAACTTTTTTAATGTTAGAAAAAAGAGCAAATAAAAATATCAAAATATCAGAGTTGCATTCTTTTTCTTTTCTTTTTTGCAAATGCCTCCTTCAAGGCCAGGAATGTATGATTTACCTTTGAGAGAGAGCAGCCTCATAACAGCACATGACTGTAAACTACATTACCCATAATTCCACAGCATGTTAAGAAGCAACAAGGTTTGGTCTCAAAAGCCAAAGTACTTAGTCTACTGTGCATTAGAATGACCCCTGTCGGTGTTTCATCATTATATTACTGGATTATTATTGCTGCATTAACACGCAAACAGTTAACAGGTAGAACTGTTATTTACTCATTTAAATACTGTCGAATATTTAAATGTGTAATAATGCATCCTCATTTTATAAGCTGATCACACTTTGTATGTAAATACATCTGCAACACAAGTTTAATTAAAATGATTTCAACCAACATCAACCTTGAGATGCTGTTTACACATTCATGTGTTATAATCCAATAACATCTATGATAATTATACAGTAACAGTCTCAATAGTACCATTATAATTTTGAATGTGGGCCTTTCACTTGTAATGGAGTATTTTTGTACTGTTAGTGCTACTTAAGAAACCTCAGGACTTCTTGTTCTCATTGTGTTTCTCTATGTTCCTGTCTGCTTCTATTGCATATTTGCCCTGGATGAGTGTTTTGTCCTTTTATGCTGACATGTCTTCCTTTTTCCCCATTAAGAGTTTTTAGAGTTTTTCTTTAGCCAGACTGAGAGTGTAAGGAGATGTTGTACACTGTACAGATCGTAGAGCCACTTGAGGTAAATTTTTAGGGCTATATAAATAAACTGTGGGATCGATCCAGTAGTGTGACATACTGAACAATCTGCTGACTCTGCAAAACATGAATTAGTCCTCTCCTTCACTTACAGGTTGCCTCATTTTGTGTGCATATACATATGAAACAAGCAGAGTTACTAATTCAGTTTCTAATTCCTGCCAGGGGGAATGCAGGAGACCCCAAACAAGCTGTGTTGTGAGAGTCTAGTCTTAATCCCAGGGGTCTAAGCCACAGTGTTCCGGAGTAAGTTCCACATTAACACAGTTCAGACAGTGGTGTAGGAAGTATTTAGATCCTTTCTTACTCAAGTAAAGGTACCAAACTCAAACTAAAATATTCCTGGTACTTACAATCTTGCAGAAAAACAGCCCCCCTGTCTATTACTTCCCTAGTGTATAGACAATAGAAATATCTTTCATGCTTAAATGGCAAGTTTGCTACCTATACAGACAACATCGTATATAAAACAACAACTTATCATTATAATTCACAGGCATGAGAGCAGTAGTGATCATTTTTCTTTCACCAAACTGTCAAACTACTCTTTCAAATCTTCAGAAATGTTTTATGAGCAACATCCTGTGAATCTGAATGTGTTTTACAGGTGTTATGAAAGCAGGAGACTCCTGCAAATAAAATTTGATTTGACTTTGAAAACATGTTTCTTAAAGTGACAGTCTTCAATTTTAATCTTATAAAAGCTAAACTGCCTTTCTGCTTTGAAGACTACTGGTCTGGTTTATTACTTTCCTACAAAAAGCAACAATCCAACTTTACTGGTCTCCTCAGTTTTCACTGGAAGGTGGTGGGAATATGGCGGTAGCGATCTGATAGTCCAGCAGGATTCAAAACACACGTTGTATCTTAGAGGCTGGTGCCACCATGTGTTCAAAAGCTGCAACAGACAGACTAAGACTAAATAAGACTCCTGATTGTTTTTTTTTTTTTTTTACAATAACTGCTTCAAGCTAAAATGTCAAACCTTTGTTGCTCCTACATTGAAAAAAAAAACCTTCCCATAAATGATACAACACTGAGGGGTCAAAAACGGCAGCAGGTCACATGACTCGCGTAGTTCTAAATAGTTCCAAACAGTTGATTAAGATCCATTGTTTTCTGCAGCGAACAGGGAAGATTTATCAGCAATTACTATTATTATGACTTAAACGACCTTGCAGAAATCTAATTCAGTGTTCTGTTGCTGTAGATAGCTTGGCTAACTTAAGTTGTTAGGTACCTAATTATTAAAGTGACCCAGTATTTGAGAAAGATTCAAGAAAGGTTGTGAACCATGTTTTGACAGTTGTCGCTAATTTCAAATGTATAATAAGTATAATTATTGCTATTGACTTCAGCTTCTTACTTTGTTGGATAGCAGCCAAGTCAGTGTAAGTGTGTTCCAGTGATCCACCATTACTGTAAACAGAAAAGGTCCTTATAGAGTCAGTGGAGATGTCGTCACTCTCCTTCTTAATCCACCCCGAATGTATCTTACTATCAAATCTTCCCTGTGTAGCTAAAGCTTATTTCTTTGTGCAGCAGAGCTCTACTGTTGTCCAAAATATTAAAAAAACACATCAGTGGGGGTAAAGTTCAAAAGCATTTTATCAAATCTGAGTCCAAGTCTAAGCCCCCTGATTGAATCCCAATCCTTTATCAAATTGTTTTAGTTAGATTGTTTGTTGGAGAATAAAGATGGCTTAGTATTAAAAAAATGCGTACTGTTTTTATTTCAGTTGTTATTGAACCTAGACTTTGCTGAAAGGGCTGTATGTGTGTATATAGTTTATATGACAGGTTATCTTTTATATTATTTAACCTCTAAATTTTTTTTTGCTACATACTTGTTGGTTAAGCTGTTGAGTTGTTTTTATAATACAAATATGTGAGGTTCATACCAGAACTCCCTACACCCATCTATGGATGTATGGTGTCAGTGTAAAAAAAAGACATCTCTTTAAAAAAAATCTCTTTTTGAGAAAGAAAGGACTACGCGTTGATTTAGTTTTCCAAGGTCTTGTCCTCTGGGTTTCTGTCATCACACTTTTTCCGCTGCCTCGTATCCACAGATCACCGGTGTGTTGATTCTGCAGGCAGGGGAGACCACGGAGCCCACCCTGAGGGCCATAAGGACGTCCACGTCGGCTATATCCTTCTCCAGACCAACCTTGACTCAGGCCAACCAGAGGTTGAGAACAGGAATAATTTTACTACCAGATTTCCTCACAGCTGCTCGTGTGTGCTGAATGTCTGAGACAATACAATGTTGGGCAGAGTCTCAAAAATCACATCAGCTAAAGATGAAAATGTTTTGATTGTTTTCTTGTTTTTATTCTTTGACATGATGTGTGTCTCCGTGGTAACTATTCTTCCTGCTTTTGTAACCATAGTAACCTGTCTCCCTTCTGGCCCCGCCAGTTGCATTACCTGCATCTGCCCAAAGACATCAGTGAAGATCATGTCATCCTAATGGACAGCATCGTCTCTATGGGCGCTGCTGCCATGATGGCAGTGCGAGTCCTGCTGGTGGGTGGAGAGTAACGAGATTAATCTTCAGTAAGACAGCAGTAGGAGCTTTCTCCTCTTCATCACTCATGTGCTTTACTGCTCATCTGTGTGGTTATTGATTGAAAGAGGTTTGATTAGCAGGTTTTCCGCTAAGAGAAATTTCAGCTAATTTCTTTGCTTGCTTTTCCACTTGTTAATTATTCTTTTCATAATGATAAAGCAGACACTGACAGTCGTTGCTGTGATGCGTGTAGCTGAGCAGGATCACGAGGTTCAAGAGGATAAGATCATGTTGGTGTCACTGCTGATGCCAGAGCTTGGGGTTCCCTCTGTGGTCTATGCCTCCTCAAAGGATGATTGCTCACATGTAATTCCTGATATCGGCCAGCCAGTAAGTGCATTTACTAATGCAAAATCAGAAACATGTATCAAACATTTTGTCCCTCTTTTAAGTCTCTCATATACATCTAGATGTTTTCAACTTAACAGTCTTTAGTGTGCACAGCTTTTGGTGAATGAATTTAGCTTTATGCAGGAAATATCCACAGTCTTTGCAGCCAATAAAAGATAATAAACATCTCTGCTCATTGATCGATTTCATTTCATGTCTCAGCAGATTCTAATTTTATGCTTGTGTCACTATAGATTTGAACTTTGCACTGTCAATCACCACCGTAACTACAGCACATTTGTAACATAGTGACAGAGCTCAGCCTCAGACACAAGCGCAGGACATGCATTTTATAAAACAATACTCAGGCAAAATACTAACAAAACAGCATAGGAAAGCTGAACAGACAATTCCAATGGGGTAGACTTTTAGTGAAGCATGGAAGAAGGCTCAGTCTCTGGGAACAGACACGCTGTTCTGTAATAGACTTTGCACTGGGGTTCACCTAGTGAAGGTATAAGTTCAGTTGCCAGCAGGTGTAAGGGATTGTCCATGGTTCCTAGTGATCAGTTCGTGGTGACGCTGATCGCTGAGGAGATGATGAGAGAGGCGTGGCAACACTAAACAATACATATATCAGATAGATCAAATTATTGCCTGTAACCATAAAAAATAACATTAACTCATGTAATTAAGTTTAATTGCAAACTAAAATCAATATTCAATGTACCAATTAGTCTTCCTGTTAGTGAATCAAATGCAAAAGTATTAATTCTAGATAACATCACTGATGCACGCACTACATTCGTCATTGTTCATCCTCCTCTTCAGGTGTACACCAGCATAAATACTGTTATATTCACTTTTTGTGTACTACACATAAAATTTGGACTCTTAAACAATAGCTCAGCCACAAGGGAGTTCATAAATATTTTAACAATATTAAATTTTGAACTGTGTTATCCTGGATCGGGTTGCACCAGCTGTTTGTACATCCAGTTCTCAGTAAGTAATAGCTAGTTTCATACTGGTAATTTCCTAAATTGGGTTGCACATCTTAACCCAGTAAGAGTTTTGGTCATGTGTACAGTGGTTTCTAGCAAACATCTGTCACAACATCCAGTCCTGTCCAATCAGCAGTGTAAAGAGGGAGTCACTGTAGCATCACGAGTTTTAACATACAAAAAGATATATATTAAGCACACATATATTACAAACAGAAGTTATTTTCATTTTGAGGAAAATCTGACTTACAGCTTTACACATTTACTGTAAATGAAAAAGGCCACTTGGTTTATTTTAAATCGTAAATTTAGGGTACAAATAAATATCTTCCAGTTTTCACTGCCTCTTTCACAGGAAAATGACGTTAATTATGTCCAAACTGATCAATAAGTGAGTGAATCTTATTTTCGGTGCGAGGTCACGGATGGTCACATGTTCACTTCTGAAGTTTTCTGTGCTTCTCTGACTCTCAGGGTTCATGCACAGGCCTCTCGGACCCCTCTTTGATACACTTTAAAGCCTGAAGGGGTCAGTGTAGCTCACATTTAGCTTCCCTCAGTCTGATTTATGGTATGATCCTTTGAGAAATCACAGTACAGAGGAATGTACACAGACTCACCTGAATCACTGCCACTGCACAAGGTAAAATGTGATGTAGGCAGTTTTTAAGAAATAGAAATGTTCTTGTGGTTTCACTGAATGATCTGGTGCAGAATGCAGTGTGTCATTGCTTAGTTATACACATGTAAGATCATGATAATAATGTTATTTCAGAGTTACAAATGGAGCAGCCACAATGTCCACCCTCTCTCTTGTGTTCACACTATTTAAGATAAACATGCCTCATGACACCTGCTACGAGACACTGATTGGTAACGATATGATTCCACAGCCAGTTTGTGTTTTTATGCTCAGTGCTTCTCATCTATCTGCTCACTGTTGTGAGCCTTCAATGAAGCTGACAGTGTCATTCATGTATTTATTCAGTCATTAATACTCCACAGAGTGAGATTAACACATCACATAACCTGTGAATGTTGTATCATCTTTACGCCTACACTGTCTCCTTCTCCTGCACGTTTGTTTTGGACAGTGTTTTTTTTTGTGTGTGATAGCTCCACGCCGAGCGGGTGACACTGCGATCACGGATGTCAAACAGCGCACACCATATTCTCCAAGACAGCAGAAGACTCGCTCGCCCATGTGACTACTGCCTCAAGGTTAGCCTGTTACCATGGAGACAGGTCTGCCAATGAAAATTCAGCAGACGGTTGCAGTGTTGACTGCAAGCTTTTTGTTTTAAGGGGTGACCTATTTTTTTTCCCCCGTCCCCCACTTCACAGCTACTCAGTCACAGACCCCGCTACTCGGGCACATGTGCACGTGCACACAGACAAAAAAAAAAACATGGGAATGCTTGTCAGACACACACACTCATACATCATGTGAAATAGGATGTACACAAAAGAAACAAGGGACAATAGAGGAAACAAACAGCCTTAAGTATGAAATATGAAAATATATTACAATTATACACTTTAAGGGTATTTTTCTAAATTTGGGCCTAAAAATATATTTGTACATAGATTTTGCTTTCCTTTGATAGAACTAAGGACATGACTCTACAGGCAGCTTTTACGATTAAACGAAAAGGTTTGAATTAAAAGACACTTTGATTCTTCATAGCAGATGTCAGCGTGAACTATTGATGATATTTAGGCTTTAGAGAAATCTGTCAGAGCATCACTCAAGTGCAGCTTTCTTTCCCTTTTAATAACTGAGACTATGAGATAAAACATTTTTAAGTGCCACTTTATTACAAAAGTATAAACTTGACTGACATTTCATGAATAGTAATCTTGATATAAAACATTACAATCTTTTGCACTTAGCACTTAATTACACGCTTTTGAGTACAAGACCCTGTAGTCTGTATAGCAAACACACAACATTAGCTGCCACATTTAACTTAGCCGGGCTTTCCAAGAACACACCGTAGCTCCATGGCCTCAAAAACAACAAACAGGATACACTGAAATTTACATTGCAGCTGTTTTGCAGTTTGTGTCACGAGAAAAGTCATTCCGAAACACAATTAAACATAATAGAAAAAGATAGATTTCTTGACACTGATGATATATTTATTATTCTTTCTCTTTTGTAATGTACATACACATTGCATCAACATACAGTATAATCACATTGTTTGCTGGGGATATTTGGTCAAATGAACTCATTGTTACATCGTCCAGGATTTGGATGTAATTTTGTGTGTTTTATCTGCACGATGATGCGTTGCTGCTTAGCGAACCCTTTGCTTCTCACTTTTTGTCATTTTTGCAATATTTTTAACACTGATAACAGAGAGAGGAGAGAGTTTTCACTGATGGGAGTGATGTTTAGACATGACGCTCGCTAATACACATCAGTTCTACTTTAGAATGGTCCACAGATATGAGCGAGGACTGGGCAGAGAGGGGGGGGTGAGGTGGCCGGCGTTGAGTGGACCGTCTCCGACTTCAGGACTCAAGCAGTTCTCTTTAGTCTTGGTTCATCTGTACTGTGTGTGAGTGTGTGTTGCAGGCACAGGAGGAGAGGGATGAGCACTCCTCTCTGCAGCACAGTCCCACTGAGCCAGACATCCTTCATCTAACTGGCTTTGTGCTCTACAGATCATAAAGCAACACACACAACAACATAAATAAACAAACAAATAATTAAGCAACCAACGACAATAGAAAATAAAAGAAATAAAACATTCATATAGAGGTACCACATGACAGTGCTTGATTTTTTGTTTGTTTTTTCACTTTTATAGCATGCAACTTGTAGCAGGCAAAGTGCAGAAACAGGATCAACAAACAGCAGTAGAGACAGTGTTCAGTCCATGTGAGATGAAACAAAACATGACAGAGGGAAGTACTCGGTCGTTTTTTAAAATATGAAAATGGTCTAATTTAGTTGGAGCTTTTAGGAGGAATGCAAAATGTGTGCAATTTTTCTTTTAATACTCTCATAATGTTTTCTCTTGGTCCCTGAGCGTTCAAGTATTTTGATTAGTAATTCATTCCTTTACACGGTTTAAATTCCATCCTGAATCTCATCTTGACCAACTACAGGGAAGGCCTGTTCACGACAGACTAAGTGCTACCAAAAGATTTCTTGCAATGCTGTGCCTTTTTCCCAGATGGGAGTCCTGCTAGGACCAGATAACTGACTATTTTTACCCGCAAGAATTGAGGAAGAATTTAGGCTTTTTATTTTATTGTGCTTTGCACATTTGTATCAGTAAAATAGAAGTGCTACTGTTGTCTACAGATCGCTCTGCAGTGGTCTTGTGCTTACTTGTAATTCACTACCTTTGGATTCCTTGTAAGGTGTATAGATCGGACTTTGTATTCAGCCCAGGTCATAACAGATCAACATTATCCGCCCAAGGCCTATGGAGCCTCTGACAGGCATGATGTTATGACTTTAATGTAAACAGTATGTGTGGGTGAGCATGACAGGGGCTCAGCCGTCACTCCTTGTGGTGTTAGCTCAGCTCCTTGGAAGAATAGGGGTTCACAGTGCAGCCGCTGCCTCAAAGCCCTGTTACATACATCTCCATGCCGTCATTGAAAGTGAAGATGGTGGTGGTGCTGGAGGTGGCAGAGCCCTGCTTCAGGTCACCAATGCTTTCATACAGGTTCTCCCCCGGCAGCAGCAGGGCTTTGGCAGGCAAGTGCTGTAACTTGGGGGTCTGCTGCGTTGGCGGCGGTGGAGGGGGCTGCTGCTGCTGTAAGGGTTGCTGGGCTTTCTTTCTCCTTGGCCGCAGGGTGGCACATGTGTTGGGGGGCCTCTCTCGCTTCCAGCCACCTCCGCCTTCCAGGTTCTCATAGGCTGGATCGCACTTCTCTGTCCCGATCGACTCGTAGCAGTGGTCGTCAAGGGGCCCTCCAACTGCTTTGCCTTCTTGAGGGGCCCAGGTCTGGGGTTTGACCACTACACTAAACCCCCCATCCCGGTCTCGGTCACCACAACCCAAGGTCCGGAAGCCAGGATTGGCCGGGGGAGACCCCGGTACAGCTCTCTTCTTCTTTCCTGGTTTACACACCTTTGAATACATCTCAGCTACCTGCAGTCAAACAACACAACACTGAGATTCTGGACTGTAAAAGAACAGTTAAACATATACACGCATTAAGTTGCTTGCTGAGCTTTAGATGAGAGATATCACTCTCAAATATGTCTCTTATAAGGCTTCAAACAGCAGCTCGTTAGCTTAATAAGACCAAAGCTGAAGACCAAAGTGTAAAAACGAGTTGTGATTGCCTGTGGAAGTGACTGCTCCAGCCAAAAATAGTCACACACTTAACCCCCCTCCTCATAAAAACACAGCAAGCTATTTTTACACTTTCTGTTCTGGTTGAGCAAACAAGAAGTAATATGTGAATCAGTGAGTTTTAGAGGTTGGAGTAGGCAGATTGTGTTTCCTTTGGAGCAGGGCAGGCGACATTAGCTGCTTCCTCCACTTCCACTCTTTATGCTAAACTAAGCCAATCAGCCGCTTGCTGTAGCTTCTTAGCTTCACGTACACATGAGCGATATCAATCTTCTTGTCTAATTCTCAACTGCAAAGTGAAGAGTTTCCCAAAACACTGAATTATTCCTTTAAATCGTTTGCTGCCAACCATTCCTTGGTCGAGTCCCCATTGCTCAAACCCACTACCTTCATTTTAAACTCCAGTAAAAAATAAAAGGATTTTAAAAATACCTAGTTTGGCAAATTGAATTGCACTGAAATTTGTATAAAATGGTGAGTACAGAAATTTCCATTTGGAAATAACAACAAACCGTTTATTAAAATATCTATTCTTGCTATTAATAACAAATGCATTATTTCTGTATGATAACATAAATATAATAAACGGTAAACGTTATCATGTTGTACAAGTTGAACAAGGATGTAACTGGGGCTACCGTCTTTGATTGAATTAAAAAAACAGAACTGCAACATGAACAAACAATTTACAAATACTTTATTGTGCAGTCGACATATTTTTTATCCAGATTGTTTGAGAATTCTTGAAATACCCTGAGGACAGCGGTACCTTTCTTCTGGGGCTTTTTATAAAGATCATCAGGGATTTATTTGTTTGCCACCAAAACTGATACTTAGCTCTGTGACTCAGATAAATGATTAATACTGTGCACGAAGGGCACAAACTGGAGCTCAGTTAAATAATTTTAAGACTGATATTCCTTTGACAAAGTGCTGGGTGAAGTACATAAAACTATTTTCAACATTTTTTGCCCAATCTTAAAGCTACATGATAGTACACTGGGAAGAGGAAGACTGAACAACGTAATGAACAAAACAGCATACAGCTTGATGCACAGATTGAAGAGGCCTCACCACAGCAGCAGAAGGTTGTATATTCTCCACCGTGTGAGCACCCAAAGGGCCCAGGGCTTTATTTTGCAGCACGAGCATGTCGTCATCATCTGGAGGCTTCCAGATGTATTGCTCTCCGTTGCCCATAAACATCACTTCCTGTCAACAGAACAATTACAACTGAGGCAGAGCTGGTCACATTTGCATGCATGATGTTGGACAATGAAACTGCAGGGATTCACGGAAGCCAAAATAATCACTTTAGCCATGCCAACATTAGAAATGTACTCTATTGAGTTACAATATTGAATAGATCTTCCCTGGAAGGTGGAGCTGATAACATGAAGAGCCATGTCCTTTTATTCTGGATGAATTTGTTTCAACATGTTGCATCATCCACAAGAAAATTAGTGAACAGCCCTGGGAGCTGCGTAAACATGTAAGCCCGTAAACTGTGTGTGTTGCTAAAATCAGGTCACAGCAGAACGTGCAACCTTGCTGACCTCTCACGGGACAAAATTGGTCTCCAACTGTCACCTAGAGGAGAAGCGTGAAGCCTTGTATCCACAGTAAAAGCAGACAGTCTGCCTACAGTCCTGCTGCTGCAAACATATGGAGGTCACACTACCGAGAGCAGAAAGACCCCACTGGTGCTGAGAGCTCTTTGACAAATATGCACCACTCGCTGCTTGGACATCAAAAGAATTTCTACAGAATCGCTACTATAACACCATGCATAATGTGGCCAGGTGCAAGGAAAACTGCCACACTGGCACAATTACAACTGTGCAGATCCTCTGCAGCATCTACAGGAAATCGGACAGAAATTCTCTGGGGACCCTGCTAGAGCTGTACCTGGACAGCAAACTGGATACTAATGTCTTACTGATGTCAACAGAGAACTAGAGACTTTGTTACACATGCACTAATCTGAGCAGAACAATCAGAAACTGATCAAGATGGTGCTGCGGACATCCTCCACTCTAACTGACCCAGCTCACTGTGCCTGCCCACACCTGTTAGTGGTTCACCAGCTTCCTGGCAGGTAGGAAGCAGCAGGGGGAAACCACATCCAGTGCCCAGACTATCAGCACAGCTGCCCCCCAGGGATATGTGCTCTCCCCACTGCTGTTTTCCCTATACACAGCAAGGCTGGTTTTATTCAAAGGTTTAAAAGTAGTAGAACTACTGAGTTGCAGTCATATGCCTCTGCCAATCAGTTCTCGGGGACATGATGAACATGAAATCACTGTGACCTTTGGCCACCACAATCTAATCAGTTCATCCTGGAGTCCAGCTGGACGTTTGTACCGAATTTGAAGAAAAATCTTGAGATACTACATTCACAATAATAGGACAGACATAAGTTTGTATGTAACAGATGGACAAACAACCTGAAAACATAATGCCTCTGGCCATGGCTGTTGCTGGCTTGGAGGCATAAAAACATTTGCCTAAAAATGGTGTCAGTCTTCTCATCTATTTCTCAGGCACAAAACAATTAGCATGTTACATAAACTGTCCCGATATTCATTTACACCATCAGACCAAAAAGATCATTTCCTCTGTGTGTGACACATTAAACTTCACCAACCTTTGGGAATGATGGGACATTAAAGGCCTCCACGTTTCTACGGGGCAACTTTGTGCTGTGAGGGTGTGGCGGAGGAGGGGCAGGATGTGATGGAGGGGCGTGTCTTGGAGGTGGTGCCGGCGGCTCCCCCATGTCTGTTCCACTGTCCCTCTTTTGAGGCGCCTTGTCGGCCTTCTTCAGCTTCCTGACGCAGGCGTACTCGGCCGTCTCTGGAGGGTGAGATATGACCTGGGCCTCAGGCTCAGGTAGTCCTCCTTCCACATCCCCGTCTGGATCTGGGGGTGCTGGGGTGTTGGCTGGGACAGCTGGAGGGGCCGGAGTGTCCGTCTGCCCGGCTCTGCCTACCATGGCGTAGAGGGCGTCATCGGTACGTGTGGTGGAGGGGCGTCGGCCCACTTCAGAGTAAGTGTGTTCTCCGTCCTCTCCATTCCCAGAGGGGATCTGGGGAAGCTGCCTGCCTTGAGAACGAAGGTCAGAGTTAGACCGGCGGCTGGACAGCAGCAGAAGGTCCATGCTGGCTGGACGTTTCTTTTTAGATGCCTCTGCAAGGCACATACAGGCTACTATTACTGTCTGTACGGCCACTGCCCACCACAGAGCAGAATTCACATACATTTACGTATCTTAGACTGAACAGCTGATAGCCATTTTTGAGCCTGAATAAATCTCTCACAGGCATGAGAAAATCCGGAGCTGACAGTAAACTGGGAACTGGCGTAGCTGTTTGAGAATATGCGTCCAAACTGGCTTCATTCCACTGTAGTGGAAGCAGGACAAGTATGAAACAGGACATATGCTATATTTCTTCAGACTCTCTCAGGCTACTGTCACAGTGCCCACAAGCACAGTTCCCTGATGACTACCAGTGATGGAGCTCCAGGATTTGTCTTGGCCCTGTGCTTTCTGTCTTTGAGAAAGACAGGGAGAGAGAAAGATATGTTCAGAAATCAAGACTGAACTCTCGAGTGGAACAAGGCTAAGAGTTGTAAATGTAATGTGAATTCTGCTTTAGAATTGAACTAGCTCCTCTAAAAGGCTCTTGAACTTTATCACAAGGAGGTTTTGTGTGAATTTAGGGCCGGATCAGACACCGAGAGCAGGGAGAAAACGTGTGGAGGCACTTATTTGCTTTGTGCTATGTAATGGTTGCTAATGTTTGGCGCTAATTAATGAGGATGATGCTACATTAGAACATACTACAGTTAAATAACTGTTACATTAATGGTCATGCTACCAATGGTGCTGCTGCTAAATATTCGAACTGCTTTTCCATTTTTGCCATTAATGGACAGTAGTGTTGCCGCTGTAGCGTCACTCTTTGTGATTCTCTTGTGTTCAAACCAACTGAAAGATTAGTGATTGAGAAAAAAAAAAATCCAACCCTTACTGCCCAGAAAAAGAATCCCTAGCAGTGACGCCAGAACTGCTTTGTCAGGCAGCTAAAATGAGACCAGGCTGTTTAACTCTGGGAGACACAAGCTTTTTCACCTCCCAACAGGAAGGTACTGTCAACAGACAACACAAGTCAGGATTTGTACTGTATATGAAGGATGCACTCACTTTTGCCATTGCAGTTCATCTTGTTCATCTCAGTGTCTGATTTACTGATGGACCGCAGCTTCGACTGCTTGAGTATACCCTAACAACACACACACACACACACACAACACATGGGGCCGGTTAAACACTAATGAAGACTGAAGAGGCGTCCTCTGAATGCCACTGTTCCCTGATGAATTGAGTTGCTTCAGCTACCTCTGCTGCAATACAAACAAAACATTGAGGAGTGTTGCCTGATGCCTACCATGTCCATGAGACGGTGTTTTCCACCTTCGCCGGGGACATTGTGTGCCTTCCCCTTCCTGTGGTAAACACAACCGCTCTGTCATACAGGTTGACACCACAATGCTGTGTGTGCAGTTTGTGTGTGGCTGAGTCATCTTATGACTGTGCACATGTGAGAGATATTAAGAGCATCCTTGTATACGTGCATGCCAGTGGTGGAGACTATGTATATTTACACAAGTACTGTATTTGTGCTTGAGTGTTTTCATTCTCTGCTACTTTGTACTTCTACCCCATTAATATTTTCCATTTAAGAAATCCTATGATATGCTCAAACAATACAGTTCGTTGCTACATGTTAAACCAGTTCTTCTGACCTTTCTGGCTCATGACCTCTTATGAAAAATCACTGAGGCCCCTTCAGATGTCTGTGACCTGTTAGTGATTACACGTCAAAAGAGGTAAGTTTGCCTGATATTTCACAACAAAAGTACAGATAACAAAAAAGGAGAAATCAGTACTAACAGAACTGTTTTTTCTCCTCTATTATTTTCGAATTCAAGTTCAAAGTATTTATTGTTATATGCACAATAAAGAAACCACTTTCCTTGTGCAATGAAATTCATCCTTTGCCTTCTACTATGAATTCCATTAAACATTAGGGGAAAAATGTAAGAAATTAAAAAAAAAAAAGTAAAAATAATAATAAAAAATGTATACAAAAAAAACATCAGTGCAATATCAGTGAAGTACATACCATCTACACTAATATATAATAGTGCAATAGGCAGTAGTACAGATTTATGCCCTTATTAATCATCTATGCAAACCACATGCTGTGTTGGTCATATTATTCATCTCACCACCCCTCAGATTTATCCTGTGATGCTGTGAAGGGACCTGGCCACCCACCACTGGACTAAACCACTTATCTGTATCTGTACATAAAGTACTTAAAACTTGGACTTTTACTTAAGTACAGATCTGAGTTCTTCTACCACTGGTGCACACATGTGGAAGTAAGTGTCTTGCAAATGCAAGTGTACATGTGTGTACCATTGTGTTTGTGGTCATGCGTGCGTACGCAGCGCCTCACCTCTGGCAGCCCACGCAGAGCACCACAATGAGGATCGTAACAACAAAGGCTGAGGCAGCAGCAATAGCACCCAGCAGCAGGACCTTGCCGTAGGGAGGAGCCGTGAAGTTCAGCCCGTCCTGCATGGAGGCCATGTGGGAGCGCTGGCGCTCACTTGCTCTCACACACTCACACTCACACCCTTACACTCATGCACACAGGGAAGTGCCACGGTCTCACTGGGATCTGCAGTGAGAAGCCACAGAGAGGTCTTTAATTACAAAATTATCTGACCATTACAAAACATTAAGTAGCTTAGCAAAGCAGTGGAGCCAGAAGTAAAATATTCACTGTGCAAACGGCAGTTGGAGAAGAGGAAAAGTAAGAATTCCCATTCAGCGCTAAATCGGTGGAGTGAACAGACATTATGCCTCTGGCATGTGCTTCTGCTTCACCTTGTCTGAGGGATTACTGAGCTTTGTGTGTCACACTTACATAGACATCAACATTTTCAGGTATCTAGGTCTGCGTAGCATAAAGGTGAGCTAAAGCAATGCAACATTTCTACACTGAACAACTACTTGCTTACTGAAATAACCAAGAAAAAAAATCTGTTCCAGACAAAATAGGGCTGATCTGTTTGTCAGGTAGCTGCTACTGTGCATTTGGATAAATACAAATTTCTTATAGTTTGAAACAGTTGCAATAAGAGCAACCCAACATATAAGCATGCACATTAGAATGCACGATGAGTCACAGTGAAGCTGGCCATGCTGGCAGCAGGATAACCTGAAGCAGTGAAGGAGACAAGTGTGAATGCAGACAGAAACATCTTTCTTGCTTTTTCTCAATTCATCGCCGCTTGCCAGACAATTTCACTTTTGGCAGCATAATATGCTTCAAATAAACAATAAAAACACAGAGCTCTAGCATAAAGACTAAACAAAAAAGCCTGTTCTAATCTCCGTCAAATGATGCCATCTGTCTGCCGTGACAATGTGTCTTCATGTGTGTTTGTTGCTTGTCTATCAGCAACTAGACTGAATGTCAAACTGCAGGAAACATACTGCCTGGTTTTGTCCAGTCTGGTTGAACTGAAGATGACAATGCATTCATCTGTATTGCTTATGTATTGATTCAGTGTTCGGAGAAACACTCTACGATGGATCTTTCTGTAAGTTATGTGTATCTGCAACCTCCTCAGACATGTGCTTTAGTATTGGATTCCACCCAGATGCTCTCCTTTCAGACAGAATTTAATCTTCACAGTCCAAATTACTTTACCAATTTGTCTGTAGTCTGGTCAACAGTGTGTCTCCGAATGTTAGCCAAAGCCTTAGCTGTTCAAGACTGTTGCTGTGTTTTAGGAGAAACTGCAACATTACCAGGTCTAAGAAGGATCCAGGCAACCTGAGCGTGATTTGCACCAAAACAATCTGTCCACGACCGTGAGCTTTGGTCTAATAATGCTTTAATGTAAAAACCCAGACAGATCTCACTGGCTGAAATCATAATAAAACTGTACAAATCATCTGGATGGAACCACATTGTCCAGCTAGGTCTCCTGACAGACAGCCACGCCCAACCTCACTCAAATATGGTTTGTTTAATTTTGACACTCCTTTTCATTTTTTACTCAAGATCACCATAATGATGATGAATGTAAAAAAGCCAGTGTGTGTTCACAGCAGCATTGATGTGCTCAGGCCTGTGTTCTGTCCAACCTACTTTACTAAAATGCCTTTGTCTTGGCAGTGGTCTCCCCCGATCTCACTAACCAACAATATGTACAGCTGAGGCTGTATAGTAAACACTGTTATTGTTTTTTGGTCATGAACCACAGTAGTCAAGACATTTATATTTTCATTTTTGATTATAGTACTAGGGAAAAAGTGAAGCGATCCCCAAAATTATTGCAATTTATCTTCTCAGATTGAATTACAATCCATCCAATAGTTGCAGAGACATTTCAATAAAGACTTTAAATTTGCACCTCTCCATCTGGTAGAGGTTAATATATTTCACTTGCTAATTAAAACTTTGCCCTTCTGGTAGTGCTAAAAGAAGCATCAGGGGATCAGAGTCGTTGGAATTTATTATCTGACGTTCATCAGTGTCTGTACAAAATAATGTAATAATCCATGCATGTATTTTAAGAGCAGACATGTCAAACATGGGATACAGTACTGTGACTTGCTTTTAACACAACTGCTTTATCCTCCAGTGCTCGACCTTAACCTGAGTGAGTAGTCTGAAGTACTCCGCTGGATTTAAAGAACCATATAAACCTGTGAGGCAGTGATCATTTAATACACAGTTGCAACAATGTCAGTGTATTTATGTCTCTGCTGATTTGACAAGAGATCTGAGGAATGGAGAGAAGAAGTGGGAAAGGTGTGCAGTAGGTGTGGGGGAAGACAGGAGGGAAGGAAGACATGCGTGGGAGATTTGTGACAGGTGTTTGAAGATGCTGAAAGCAGATGATGAGAAGAGGCTGTCACGTTTCCTAACAAGGCTTCCTGGCCTTCCCTCCCTCCCCTTCCCCCTCTCACTGAGTGTGTCCACACCTCCCCACCCACTCTTCTCTCCCTCTATCCCCCTGCCTCCACCTGCGGTGTTCAGCCAGTGACGCCTCAGCACTGCAGTGTAATCTCTGGCTCTAGAGCTGCCTTGTCTGAGCCAACCAATTGGATGAAGTGCTCAGAGCAAAAGCAAAAAATGGCCCTCCACCGGCTGCTTTCCTGCTAAACAAAGCCCCCTCTCCCTCAACCATGGAGAGCCCCACCTCCCCACTCACGGCGCTCACGGTGCTCGCTACAAACTACCAGTGCTCCCTCGAATACCTGCAGGTGCAGATTTGCCAGGTGTTACCCTGACCATGTGTCACAGACCAGAAGGCCAGAAGTGGCGAAGGAACCGGAGCATCATCAATCATTACTCTCTGATTTCCTCACTGCCTCCAATACAGCTCTTTAAAATATCACATGAAGTCGACTCTTGACCTCCAGGAACGGTATATCTAACAAAATATGAACGGTTTTAAAACTCCAAAGCCCAGTAAGTAAAACACCAAAGACCAGTTAAATATGACACATGTCCCAGGTTCTTGAAACCCTGGTTATTTTGTTCAACCAGTAGTTCAAATGAACTAAATCTGTGCAACGTTTGCCATTTATAGTGCACAAACTACTCCATTATGATTAACTAAAAATCCAAATGCACTGTATGTTGATTATTTTTGTGTCAACCAAATAATTGATTAATCAACTAATTATTGCTGCTCTACAGTGAATGAATGAACAGATGGATGGAGGTTTGGGTCACAGTGGGCTGAATGTGGAGCTACAGCAGTATGACGCTTTGGTGGAGAGGAAATTCATCCACAACTCCAATGATCAATCAAGAGAAACTGTCAAAAATGTGATGGTCCCAGGTTCTACAGTGTGACAGGTTGTGTTGTGGCATTTCCTTGGCTTCTATTATATGTCTATTTTTATTTTGGACAGTTTGTCAGACAATACAAGGGGACAGCTGTGGCTCAGTGGTCATCTCCCAATTGGTTTGATTCCCAGTCGCCCCAGGCCACATGCTTAAGTGTTTAACCCCTAGTTGCCCCTGGTGGCCACATTTTTCACTGTTTTCTATTGTTTTATCAACCAAAAAGATTTAACAATGAATTAACAAAATAAGTGTTAGCTGTTAGATGACAACAACATGTCACCTGTTGACTTGGATCTCATCTCAGCATCTTTAAAGGAAGAGCAAAACGTGCTGGGTTGTACGTTTGGCTCATCACAATGACAAGATTTAATAGAACATTCACATGTTCTCCTTGTTTTAAGCAAACAAATGCTCTAACTCTTTCATACAGTGATGGAAATGAAGATTTTCTGTTTGTGGCAAACGAGGAATTATGGCATAATCTCCATTTTAAGAAAACTGCATTTCTAGGCATTTTGGTCTTTTTAATCAATACCGGTGGGTGTTTAATTTTCTACGAACATTCATTAACATGTGTGTTCCTTATTCCTGATGAGAGACTATTGGAGCTCCTTTCAGACCAGTCCAGCCAACCAGCGGTGGCCGCTCTGCCAATCTGCCCAGGTTTTGATAAACCACCTGGGAGTTCATGTGGAGCAAAAACCTCACCGTCTGCATGACACAAATAACAGCAACAGCAATGTGTGTGTGTGTGTGTTAGGGAGAGGGAGAGAGAGAGATGGGGGGAGAGAGAGGAGGCTGCTATTGTGTGAGAATGTGAATTAGGTCAAATGTTTGCTTGCAACAACGATTAACCATACCCCTGTGAGGAAGAAAGCTGAAGCCTGTGTGGAAGAGGCTCTGCCTTTATCTGTGCAACACTGCCTCTCATACAAGCACAGCCAGGCAAGATTTGTCTAAAGCATATTAAAGAATAAATATAATTGCGATCATATGATCCTTTCCAGCAGCCTGACAAAGTGAGGGACCTTGAAACAGACTGTTGAACAACAACACAGATGCTGGAGGTTTAACAGGAATTGACATCTTTGTGTTCTTACACTGTGGCTCTTTTCTCCTTTGCTAAAATAAAGACATGCTCCATGAAGGGCTCTGGGGGGGTTGTGTGTATGTGGCTCAGGATGGCTCCCACTCAACCGGCATCAATCATACAGTGGGTGACGGTTCAGCTGCAGGCTAACAGGACCGGCTCGCCGCGCCTCTGGGCTCTGACACCTCAGGCTGCAGTGATGTTGGTGCCAACAGGTTACAGACCCAGACTCCAGTGATGCCGGCTGACACAGAAAAACCATGCAAGGTGTGAACGTGGATTTGTACAGCAAAAAAAAAAAACAAAAAAAAAAAACGTGCAGGTGGAGGAGGCTACAGGCGGTCACAGAAAATGAACAATTTCAGACTGATGCAGTGTGCTTTTATCATGGTCTGGTTTCATTAGCGCCTGTAGCGCCACAGACTTTTCCCTCCTTTTCTTCTCCTCTAATCATCAAAGCGTTTCCGATTCATTTCCAGATCAAAGGGAGGATGGTAAAGGATGCTGTGTCCCCGAGGTCAGCTGGCAACTTACACGACAAAGCCATTTCCCCACACCCCCTATCTATGAGGGAGGAGAGGAGGGAGGGACTGGGGAAGGGGTGCTGCAAATGTTAACGGAAGGTCTAACGTCAATTTTCTTTATGCCTCACAGTCGGAAGGGATGTTGCACAGAAGGAATCGCGTGATCGGAGGCTTCTGGCGCCTTCCCCTCACCGAACCACGGTCAAGTTCTCTGATGAAGCCGTTAATTTGGAGCTTAAATCACAAAAAGCAATGCAGTAAGGCTGAGGTGGACGCACACGTGTCTGTGTTAATTGCATGACCAGTGGAAATGAAGAAAGGGCATGACTAACGTAAACACAAACATGCACCTCCTGGTTGAATAAAGGATCATGTGTACCATTGCCGTGTTCAGCCTCGAGCTCGATCCATAGGCACATTGGAATGACCCCCCATCCCCTCCTCCCCCTCCCTCCAGCCTGTCACATAGCCACGGACACAGAGCATTGCGCTATAGCATCCCTGTACTCACTCAGCTCAGAGATTTGGGAAGGCGCAGCATCAACCCCGGTCGCTTTCTGCTTCCGCTCGGACCAGACGCTCCCCGCGAGCATAATCAGTCAAAGGTGACAACTTGGCTTCACAAAACAGGAATGCAGCATATTGCATGTGGCATCCTTTGAGCGCCCGCTGACCCCCTTGTGCGCCCCGTCCGCGCTCCTCTGCTCCCCAGCCGGTCAGAACGGAGGCTGGGAAGAGGCTAACCTGCCTACCTGCTGTAATTCCAGTATTATGTCCAAGTGCCAGGTTTCTCCTCCACAGTCCCTCAAGCCCCCTCCATTTCTACTTGCATCCCCTCGGCTCAGCTACTGTGCTTCCATGTGACACAGGCAGAACTGGAGACCCCCCAATTTTGAATGTGTCCTTTGATTCTAGCGTCATCCCTCGGAAAGACGGGGAAGTGCTGGTGTGTCGCCAGATGAATGGGCTGGCTGTGGCTGTGGGAGGATTTCTCAGTCCTCTCTATGTACGTCCTGCTTAATTTCAGGTGCAAATATGGGGCCATTTAGACATTTTGAATATTCGGGGTCCAAATTACACGATCAGACAAGGAGAATAGAGGGTGTTGCTAAAGATGAACATAAACAGTTAACTGTTAAAACTGTTGTTATTATGCCTTTAAAAATAGTAGAGTTACCTGCGTTTTGGAAAAAATAGCTTTTGGTTGATTTGTGAGACCAGATTATGATAATGGACCTACTGAACTTGACCCTTTTTTAGCCAAGGCAGCATAACAAAACATTTTATCCATCATTTTGAGCAGGGTTGTGAATTTAAAGTGAAATTAAACTGTATGAATAAGCTTTACAACATGAGCCCTACAGGAGCCTTAATCATTAAAATCCCAGCGTGTAGCTGTCACACACCAGCATTACCACAGTCTACTGGTGTCTTTAGAGCTACTGGTGTCTTTAGAGCACTGTGGAACAACAACCACCTATCAGGGTGAAGAAGACGGTGTTGCTGTATGAGGGTCAATCAGTGCCACCGTGAAGGACAAACAGAAGAGTCATGTGACAAACTGGTGGCCTTCTGAAGGGTGAGAAAAATATAAGCAGCAGTTGTATCACTAAATGCGAAAAAGAAAGAAATATAATGTTATGATTGTTGCCCATCGTTTGAAAGAACAAAAAACAATTTTTAACTATGAAGTCAAAGGTCCCCTACCATCACCACTTATTACAACCAGGTGCTTTGAGTACCTAAACCTAACTTTACCACAGCAGAGTCTGATCACAAAACCTTTTACTTCTGGTTTTGTGGTGCAGTAACAAAAGATGTCGCCCTTGGTTGCACAATAAAATGTTTATATGTGTTGTTTCGGAAAGCACTTAACATAATTATGATTTGATTCTTTTGAGGGTTTGTGACAAGACTTGGCTAAAAGTAAAAATAAAATTATTTCCAAGTAACAGCCTGTTAGTTAGCTAACAAGAATAACCCTTATGTTCTTTCATTTCTCTGTTTTTATCAATTTAAACACAAACTTTGTCTTACTTCAGAATAAAAGATGCAGTATAATAGAAATTCAAATTAAAGTGTTTAACAAAACATAAAGACCCAAATCCTCCTCTGGTCAGCTCAAATATCAGATACCTTAACTGTACCATCCCACAGAACAGGTGCAAGGATTTAGTTTTTAACCTTTGTGTGGAACACTGGTTAAAGAAAGATGCCTCTTTCTTTCAGGTAGGAAACACTAACACTTTCTATCCCAGGGTGTCAGAAGGTGCCAATGTTACCTGAAAAAGCTTCAGTATTTGACAATGTCAGTTATACAAAATACATAACCATAACAAATTCACAAACTAAGCAGCACTACTTCAAATTATGAGCTAGTGCACGATAATGCATCAGTACTTATAATCCATTAAAACAGTAAATACAATATAAAATACATTATTGTGAAATGTGGCATTTTGCATAATGTACTACTTTTACTTTTGCTCATACTTTTGTACTTTTTACTTAGAGTATCCTTGCACTGTGGTATTTCTACTTTTACTTAAGTAAACCACCTGAGTACTTCTTCCATCACTCCATAAAGGTTCTTTACAGAAAGATGTCTCTTTCTTTCAGGTAGGAAACACTAACACTTTCTATCCCAGGGTGTCAGAAGGTGCCAATGTTACCTGAAAAAGCTTCAGTATTTGACAATGTGGAAATGAGAAGGGGCTGGAAATACCTCTCAGAGTAGAGTACCAGTATTATAAATATGCTCAAAATACTTCAACTCTCTTTTAAGAGAACATTTTCCCTTTCGACAAAATGAGCGACCCTGTCCTGCAGCTGCACTGATCAATTCTTTGGGTGACCAGGGGCAGTGAAACTATTCTGTGTTAATTATTTTTGTTTTCAGCTTTAGTTCACACCCTGTATAAAGAATGCAGCAAGTCATGAACAACATGCACAAAACCACTAAAACAACTTTAGCAAATTGAGCAGGTTGAGGGAAAATGTATTCACACTCAATCAGTGTGTTTCCACCCACCTGTTCTAATGTGGCGCTTCAGTTCTCACAGCCTAAGCCTTACATTTTGGGGAAAAAAAGTTAAAATATCAAAATAACTTTTTAACACATTCCTGAGGTGGAAACACTGTTGTATCCTAATGCAAAATGTGACTGGACAATATGAACATCTATCTATTCATTATCTATTCCACTTACTCCTGAATAGGTTGCAGGAAGGCTGGAGCCAATCTCAGCTGACACTGGGCGAGAGGCGTGGTCCACCCTGGACAGGTCACCAGTCTACTGTAGATAAACAACCACACAATCCACATTCACTCAAACAGGCCAATTTAGAGTCACCAGTCAACCTGAGCTGCATGTCTTTGGTCTGTGGGAGGAAGCCGGAGCACACAGAGAGAACCCACGCAGGCACAGGGAGAAGAACATGCAGACTCCGCACAGAAAGGGGCTGGGTCGGTGGGGGCTCAAACCCAAAATATTCTTTCTAGGAGGCAACAGCGCTAACCACTGCTCTGCTGTGCTGCCACAACGGGAACAAACCCAGCAAAACATCTTTGACATGATGTGACTTATTTGTCACTCAAGCTTCTGCTTCCAAAAAAAAAAAAATTTAAAATGTTTGACTAATCTGTAATTCTATTCAAACTGATACACAAACTGAAGACCATATTTCCATCACAGCTTGCTCCTGGCTTCAAGTTTGAATGGTGTTGTTTTAATTATGTCCTTGCACTGCAGTGGTGTTATGGCACCTTACTGGCATCTTAGTGCCACCAGCTGTTTATCATACAACTCCTACTGTTCATATAAAAGTAGATTATGGAAATGAACATTCATTAGCATTTCCCTTTGCAGAGTTTGTGGAAATTCAGTGCCATTTTGTGCTACGTTTGGACAGCTAATGTCTCATAGGCTCACAGCATCCTGGAGCTGGCTTGACTTTGTCCTTCAGGGTTTTCCCCTGTTCTGCCTGGTGGCATTGTTAGCTCCTCATACAGCAGACCCTGTCCTTCTCCGTAGTTTAACAACCTGTGTTTTCCTCATGGTGAGGTGTACTGTGTATTCCGCCACACGTCTGGCAATGGATCTGAAGCTCCGCAGGTTTATTTAAAATCACTGTTGCTATTCACATCATCATCATCATCATCATCACCTCCACCGCCGCCATCAGAGCCAGCGGGAACCGAGAGAGAAGAAGATGGGGTGCTGCTCGGCGCGACGCATGCTGATCCTGCTGTGCTGTTTTCAGCTGGTAAGGTGATTTTTGATGCATCCACATAAACACACCTGCGTCAGGCCTGCCGCTATCTTTCTGCACTGGCGAGAAACTTACAGACAAATGGAAATCACAAAGAATTATGTTTTGAAGGCAGAATGAAATTGCTGAAAAGACTTCTTGTTTACTATCGAGAAAAGTTATTTTCTTGGTGCTGTTAAAGCTTCACCTTTAAGCCTATATATTTCTTCTAACAATATAAAATCATAAATTTAGACCATAGGTTACAATCTAAAAAAAAAAAAACTAAGTACCTGTTTAACGTGTTAGGTTTGTCAAATGCAAACTAAAATGAAATATAGGCTAAAATTTGAGCTGAAGTGATTAATGGATTTGTTAATCAACAGAACATTAAACAGTAACAATTGAGATAATCAGTTGTTTAAGTCATGTTTTAAATACCACAAAACCCCCCATTGGTTCTAGTGTTTTAAATTCAAGTATTTCCAAGTATAAACCAAACAACTGACAGGTTCACAAAGGTGAGTTGCAGCCCTTTTGAAATGATGTTTAAAGAAGCCTTGTTATAGTTGGAGAAACGTCTGAAAAGCAGTGACTGCCAACGACTACAACCACCACAATGATGGGCTGCAGCCACTTTGTCCTCCTGTGTTTCCCACCCTGCCCCCTTCATGGTGGACCGGCGGGCCGCCGTCCCCAGAAGACACACCACCATAACCTACAGTGTCTGTTTTAATCCACTCCATGCTTTGTCCCTCGTGGGTCAGTTGCCTTGACAGCTTAGAAGAAAATAAAATGCAACAGTGTGTGATGCACAAGCTACAGATCACAGTCTAATAAGCCAAGTTACTTGGTCTCAGCTCAGTCTGCTCCTGTTGACCCTCCAGATAACTGCTGTGGAGAGGCAGGTGTTTGACTTCCTCAGCTACCAGTGGGCTCCCATTATGATCAACTTCTTTCACATCATTGTGGTCATCCTGGGCCTGTTTGGTGCCATCCAGTACAGACCACACTATGTCTTAATGGTAAGGAAACTGTCTGGTTTAAAGTGTATGTGTCAAAGTACTGAATAAGAAATGTTCTCCCAAAGTTACATTCTGGCTGGAAGACCAATACTATTGGCACATGAGCTAATAGCTGGTTAGCTTAGTGTAGTATAAAAGAAAACCGAGTTAGAACAGCCAGTGGTGCAAGTAAAAGTACTAATAGCCTACAACAATTTAGAAGTACAACACTACAAGTAAAAGTTTATTTAAGAAAAGAAGTATCATCAACAAATGTATATAAAGTACCATTTTATATAAGTACTGTTGTAGCTGCTCAAGGTGGAGCTAGTGTTAACTACCTTATATACAGATAGGTAGTTTAGCCCAGTGGTTCCCTGTGTAGGGGTTGGGGCCCTGTGTAGGGTCACAGTGTAAATCTGAGGGTTTGGGAGGAAAGAAGTAAAAGACAAAGATCTGCCGGCAGTGATTTTCCTTTCTGGGCTTCTCCCTAATTTGAACTTTTGTTGGGAAGTATTGTGTAAATGTATCTTTTCGCCATCTGAGGTTTAGATGGAAATCACAGACAGCTGATATTGAGCTACGGTACATGACCTCTTGGCTCTAACAGGTCCACTCTCGTTCTGGGTTGTACCGTCACAGGGAACGTCCATGGTCCGCCTTTGAAATGAGCCATATTGGTCTGAAAAAGTCATCTTACAACCTCGGATCAGTGGGGGCTCGAAGAAGTGCAGTGTGGATTTTAACAACAGTGGCCACAGAGGGCAAGAAAGAAAACACAAGACCTGAAGTGGAGTGGGGGTGGGGGGCTCAGTACAGCAGGGAGACAACACCTCTAGACGATTTTTACTCGATTTTTCAGAATTTGTACTAAATCTTAGTTAATGCAGCTTCTAGGCTCACAAATTAACACATGATTAGTTTGGGAGCAATTTTCAAAAAGTTAGAGCTAGCATAAAACTGCCCGGCACAACCCTCCCAACCCCCCACCCCCCAACCAGTGGTGAATTGTTGCTTTTACCCATGGTTTTTGAGAGAATTAAGCAAACACCATGTTCATTATTGAGCTTTAGAGGTGCTCTCTTGACATGTTCATTATAAGCTACACTGTGGTGAAGAATAGTTGTTCCCCTGATTTTCATGATAATGTGTTTTTGTTTGCTCAGTACCTGCTGTGGACCTTGTTGTGGCTTGGCTGGAATGTATTTGTGAGTTGCCTGTACTTGGATGTGGGAGGGCTTTCCAAGGTAAGTCTGTTAATTAGAGACCCACACATCTGCAGCGCCTAAATACAGCATTCACTGTCACAAGCTCCTCTCAGGACCTGTCTCCAATTACAGATACACGATAAAACGTCTTTACAGTATGATTCTGCTCTCAGTTACAAAGTATTTCATTTCAGGAAGTGACGGTAGCTATTTATGTCCACTGTCTGCACTGCTCCAGTTACTGAATTGGCATCAGTGGGTTTTTATTGATGAAGACAAGTGTTAGTAAATAATTATAGTGATGATTTGTGATGAAAAACAAAAGTGCAGACAGCATCTCCTGACTGCTTTTAGCTAAAAGATAAAAATAAAACTAATGAGCGGATTAGTTGAAATCCAGTCCAATTCACTGAACTGAACTATTTCGCAAGTTATTCATCAAGTAACAGTGCAAAACATTTGCTGGGATTTGGCTTCAAAATACTTATTTTTACACACAAAATTACACTGAACAAACAAGCTGAGAGCTTTATCAATAATGAAAATAATCATTAGGGGTAGTCCCAGACAGGAAGCGAGCCACATATTGAATCATATCATGTTCGTAGTACATCTGATCCTTACTACATGCCATAGTCCTCGCCCATCTTTTCCTGCACTGTTACCTCCTTCACATCTCTCCTGTCTGTTCTTTCGCTGCAGGACAGCAACATTCTGTCCCTTGGGGTGTCCTCACATCGCTCCTGGTGGAAGGACAATGGGCCTGGGTGTGAGAGTGAGGGCGACCCCTCCGCTGGGTGGCAGAACCAGCAAAACCCTCAGCTGACCACAGTGATCAGCTGCTGGCTGGAATACCAGTACATAGAAGTCCTGCATTGTGTTGTCCAGCTCCTCATATCAGTGAGTCTCTCATTCACCACATCAGTCCTGCATTTCTCTTTAAGCTTTTATATTAAACAAGTGAGAATGTCAGTAGAACTATTCCGTGACACTTTTAAAACTTAAATAAAAAGCATATTCATTTACCAGAATGTTTTACTATCAATAAATATGCATCCGCACAAAGAAAACTGAACCGTTGCTAAGCAACAGCAGCTGTTCTCTGGTAAGTTTGCAGACGCTCTCAGTGCCACCCTGTGTTTTATTAGGCTGTTAAGTTGAAGGCTGCAGCTATTGATTGTTCTCATTAATGATTAATTTATCAGTAATTTTTTGATCAAATGTGCATATTAGCTTTGACTCTGCTGGTAATATATCTGTAGTCAGAGATTTCTCGTTTCAGTTTGATTTAATGCATTAAATTAGTACATTATTAAATTAATACATTATTTATCCCTGTGAGTGCAGCTCACACCAACATGTAATAAATACAATAAATAACCAATTTTTTTCTGCATTTTTACATCAATTTCCATAGCTCCTGGGATTTGTGTATGCCTGCTATGTCATCAGTGCTTTGTCAGATGATGAGGACAGCTGTAAGTAGCTCCTGACCCATGAGATCCGTGCACAAGATCCCCAAGTGTAATATTTCTTTTTACACTTTCCTTTGCATTTGTGGGGTTGATTTCAAGTCAAGTGAAGACAAATGTATTTCTAAGCACATTTAAAAAAAAAACCTCAGTTAACCAAAATGCTGCACAGAGAATAACACTAGCAAAAAACAATACAGAACACATATAACAGAAAGGGAAAGGTTAACACACTAAATAAAAAGCACAAGTTTCTTAGTTTGATTTTAAAAACCAAGGTAAATAAATAAGTTTTTAACTGAGACTTACAAACTGTCAGTGTGGGTGCAGATCTAATAGCCTTGGTTACTCACACTTGGTTACTACAATGGGCAAGTAAACCCCTTGCATGGGGATATGTACATACACATTGAGAGCCGATGTACCAGAGCCAAATTCCTCGTGTGTCCGACACACCTGGCCAATAAAGCAGATTCTGATTCTGACTACTCCATAACTTGGGAGCTGCTATTGAAAATTCACGGTCCCCTTTCAGCTTTAATCTTAATCTAGGAACATCTAGGAGTAATTGCTCCACAGAACGAAGTACCCTGGAAGGGGCATGAACACATAAAGCCTCTGACAAATATGATGGGTCTAGCCCATTAATGATTTAAAAACAAACAACAAAAGCTTAAATTCAATCTGATATTTGATAGGAAGCCAGTGAAGAGACTCCCTTCAAAAGTAGGAACTAACATAAGCCAAAATATAGGGCATTGCAGTAATCGAGCTGAGATGAAACAAAGGCATGAATCAGTTTTTCAAAATTATTAAAGGAACATAGGGGTTTAATGTTCACCAGAGTTCTCAGATGATAAAAACTGGATTTAACATCAGATGTAACTTGTTTATTAAGTTTCAGCTCATTGTCAAAGATGATGAGGTTTACTGTAAGGGGCTGGGGACTCAGGAAAGTTACTTAGATAATTTGTAGAGTATATAGGTCCAAATAAAACAATCTGAGTTTTCTTTTCATTTAAACTAAGAAAATTTAAGGACAGCCAAGTTTTAATGTCTTCAGGATTTTTGTTTGTGTATAATCCATCCAAAACCTCTCAGTTGCTCTTCTAGTGGAAAAAAAAGACTTGAAGGGTAGTTTGCTCTCAGACTATCCATGACAGTTTCACCACCTTTTTGTCCTGCATCTCATATATTTCTGTACTTTTGCTCAGATTATAAATAACCACAAAAAGAAAGAGGTCAAGAAAAGCTAAGAAGAAATGGGCAGAAGATAAAACACACCTGAAGACCGTGATCCTATCGATGGGCTGGCTGTAAATAAAACATCTGTCACAGGTGCTGAACACGCTGTCCAAGGTCAAGAAGACATCTTCCAATAAATCACTGTAAAACATGCACAGGCCCATTTATAATGTGTTTTGTTTCTCAGTTGTCATGTGCTGTAAATATAAATGAAAGTGTGTGTGTGCACAAATATGTTAAAGAGGTAGAAATCACTGGACATTTAGTGCTCACATACAGCTATTTTAAAGAAAGGTGTGATTTAAAAATTGTCTATAAATATCTGTTTCTTTCTGATGATTTGTAAAATGTATAATTTATTAATATGCGTCACTTAAGTTAGGAAATGTGGTCCTCCCAACTTGTGTAGTGTAGGATATAATTCACAGAAATAAACCACATCTACAGTACAGCTTACCATAACAAGCTTTTTTTTTATTGGCAGAGTACTGAATGGTGTGAACGTACTGTTTGCAGTTAATTTCAAATACTGAGAAAACAGCTTCTGATTGAAAAACCTAGATTTATGTAGCCTACATGAAACTAATCAAATCCATGATAAAGTATAGTCATTGAAGAATCATTTATGAACAGTTGCCTTCATTTTCAAAAAGAAAGAACAATATATTGACTAATAAATTCACTAACATCATTCCAAAGTATATAACAAGACATCCAAAAAATGATTCAGGTCTTATGGACACTTCACAAACTGAATGATTAATATCAATGTCGTTTTGTGTAAAAATAATAATAAATAAATGAAATAAAAGACCTTGGAAGGATACCAACAGGTCTTCCTAAAAAAACACTTCTTTTGTATTGTACTCATGAAATATTTAGATGGAAAATTACCTAATTTCTTCCAGTCAAGGCAGATATGAGATTTCCCTAGTCTACTGTACTACATGGGACAGAGACCAGGTCTTTCTAACTAAATGCACGAATGCGGTTAGTTATTGGATTTAACCAACAGCAGTTAGTTCCTGTAAAGCATTAGAATACCAGAGTATTGCATAGAAACCAATAGCTAATTCCTGTGGGTGTACTGGAGTGTTATATTTGCCTAAAAATTCATAGATAAGTGAATCATTGCAACTGAATAGTTGTCTAACATGATTTAGTTCATGTTCACACCAGTTTTTTAAGCAAACTGACCTGTTCTTGTACAAAATGTCTCAGTTGTTTCCGATAGGATAACTATGGGGAGAAAATTTGAGTTATGTTTATAAACGAATGACCGGAAAAAGAGTATTTGCTTATAAAGACATGTAGGGTGCGTCCAAAATCGCCTACTACACATGACTACTACTCTTAATGAAAATGCAGTAGGCACTACACCGTGTAATAAGCACAACTTAGGACATACTACTACGCTGTCATCTTGCCTCCGATTCACCCGGATGTTTACATTTGAGGACACCAGCCGCTCATTCATTCATTCATTCATTCATTCATGTACAATAGTAGTAGCGTAGCTGTCACTTTTCACTTAATGTTAAATAGGGTCAAATCTATGGTGACAGAGGCCTAGAGCCTAAACGTTATGTTTCATGAACCACCACACTGTGCATCTCATCATGTATAGGTTACTAAATGTGATAATAGGAGCGCAATGGCTACAGCTATGCCTGCTAAGTAGAGCTCTACTTAGCAGGCATAGCTAGCTAGCCACCGAATACGGCGGTGAGCATTTCTAAATTTGGATTACTTGAATATACTGGCCACTTATTCGAAATCTAGATGGTTATTTACTCGCCTATAAATATCATATTTTACTGAAGTGACATAACAACAGTCCTAGGACGACAATTATAACAGCTTTGAACCTGCCCTGCCACCACCGTGGGATGATGGGATAGCATAGTGTCCACTACTTCCATACTATAAAGTTATGTAGGTTATCCGCGTACTACTCGCATACATATTGTCCATACAATGAATTCGGACATACTACTTGTCTCGCACACACATTTTAGTCAACTATGTTGCAGACAAGTAGACTATTTCGGATGCACCCATTCATTCATGGGCCGTAGCTACGGACGCGAATTGCATCCTCGACGTCATTTCCGCCCCGCAGACCCCCGGATGTATCTGCCATTGGGGCAAGTGGCAGGGCCACCAAGGCTGGTCAGATTTTAATTTAACGGTGAGGGGGTCGGAGTGGATTGAAGCCTCGCTGGATTAATGTGGACAGAACAGCGCGGAGTGGAGGCAGGGCTACGACAAGCAAACTGTCCGCGTCGAGCAGAGACCCCGGCTAGCAGCTGCTGCTAACTGTGTTTAACTGTTAGCAAAGTAACGCGGATCAGAGATACGGCTTCTCCAGCTATTAGCCTCTCTACGCAGCGGAGTTTGTGCATTTTGCACACTGTACGTTTTGTCAGGGCTTAACACCTGGTGGATGAATGATGTCTGCTGCTAGTATTGACCCTCAGGTAAGCAGCGAGAAGACATGCTCAGGTTCAGGCTTTTATTTCCGCAGGGTGCTCGACGTGCGGTGTGTGCATCCCACTCTGAAAACGATGCCAACAATGCCAGCTAGTCCGTTTTTTAGCC